CATGTGGTTGATTTTCCCCATGAGGATGAATGAAATGAACATATTTGCAGCCGAGGCACCTGAGAACATGCTTGCAGTCAGCCTCTGATATTGTCTGTGGAGCTTAACTGAGCAGCAGTACCTTGCTCGAAGGGATACTTGAGTGGCTGGATGGACAGGAAGACACTGTGGGCAGGCCAGTGGACCACTTGATGGATTTGCTTCCCAAGGCTGAATTAATGTGGTAGGTTACCTGGTGTCAGAAGGTGGCACAGATGGCTGTCCTTTTTCTCATGCTTTGGACTCAGCTACCAGGATTGGGTTCAGAGGGGACATGACATTTGCTTATTGTATCCTTTCAGATTTCATCATTTCTGGTTTTCTCCATGATCAAAAGACCAGTTCACCACTGCTGGTTTGTGACATCACCTAAATCCTATCCTCAGAAATGTCCTTAGATTCACCTAATATATACCCACAGCAGAAGAACATAAATGCTCTTAGAAGGGCAGTTCTTTGTTCATGTGATATTTCATGGACAGGCCCTGACTCTGTTCCCACACACATGGTTCTTGTGGTGCTACCTCTGCTTTACTGGTGAAGGTATTGACCCTTGAAAGTACATACTTACCTTAAGGCTTACGTTAAGTCCCACCGAAGTCAGTAGGCCAATACCTAGAAAGAGCTCATATTTAAATGCTCTGCTGGATCAGGACCTCACTATCATGACTCCTACCCCATCAAGGCTGTTAATTACCTTGGCAGCTCAAATGCAGAACAGATGTATTTGTGTATTCTTCCCAGAGAAGAAGGGAAAGACAAGAAAAAGTATTATAATATGTTATATGTAATATACAGTGTATGAAGTATAATATATAATGCACACTCTGATTTCAGTTTATAAGGAGCCAACAGCCCTTTAACTAAAATCTCTACCAGCACTTCTTCTAAAGAAGATGTATCCCTGAGGTCTCAGATGAACTGAATTTGAAATCATGAGATAGAGTTGCTGATGGGCACACTACGTGTTTTTTGTCTCTTCCAGATCAACTATTCCTTGGTCTGCTCTAGCTAGCAGAGAGGACCATGATGTGACAGAGGAGAATGAATTGGGTGTTTGCCTCATGTATGAATAAAGCCACATAACTTCATGCTGCTCTTCCAGTGGAGTTGCTTGCTAATTAGTTTGCCAGTGGGAACCTTTGAGAATTAAACACAGGAGGTATAATCCTCCTTGCAAGGTAATTAAAAATATTTCCCCCTTGCTGATAAGTAACACGCTGATTTCCTCCTGTTTGAGAAAGCTTCATAAAAAATTACTGTAGTGTTTGTGTAACAGGACAGCCACTTGCACAAGTGTTTCCCATCCAATAAGTTTCTTCGGCTCAGTATTTTCAGAGGGTGTCACAGGAAGGAGAAACTCGTTTGAACATCTGGAAGCCTTTTTTTGTTTGTTTGTTTGTGTGAAGGGGGAAAAATGATCTCTAGATTATTTTTAAAAACCCAAAGAAGCCACAAAGGTACCATGGAAGTAGATGATCTGATGAGAGGGTAAAGGCAGAGCTTTAATGATGCTGGAAGTCAGGCTGATGGTACCCACTGACTGCCTAGCTGAGATCCCTGCTCTGTGCAGGGCTCAAATCCCAAGCAGTGTGGCATGAAGGCAACTCTTTATACCTTTCCCAGTCAATCTCCCAGCAGTGTCCTGTTCTGATTTCAACTTCCTCAAGATGGTGTGTGGGAATCTTGGCATGAGTGGATCATGCAGGAGAACATGGGATTGGGTAGAAAAATCTACCTTACCTATTATTCTGCCTCAACAGCTGCCAATAGCAGAGGCTTAGATTATAAGGATCATGGCAAACCTAGAGCAAGCTTTCCCCCTCAGGCCACCGTCAGTGATCAGAAACACAGGGACATTGTGAGCCAGAAGCTGCAGCTGATCTGTTGTATTTGACAGGTCCAGTTGCATCTGCGTTCTGGGTCTAAGCACACTGATTGGGTTTGCCCTCTTCTGAATTGCCAGAGACAGCACAGAGCACAGGCCCATGAGACAGAGACGGATCCTGCTGTTCTGCAAACTTTCAGACAGATGTGGTGGCATTTAGGATTGGTTTGGAGCAACAGAAGATTCAGTCTGGTGTTTCCTTCCCTTAAGAGTCAATTAAAATGTAACTGCAGAGAGAGGTGCCAGTACTGGAGACCTTGTGGAAATCTTCAGGGGGATGTTTCTGCAGTGACCTTTGTCTAATGATCTTAGTGGACCATAAACTTCCAAGCGTTCTGTGTCTCGCTCACACTCCTTGCGTGCTGGGTATGGTTCAGCGGGCAGCATCGTGGGCTGCTGCTTTTTGGTCCTGTTGTGCTGTGGAACTGGGCTGTTGGCATGCTGCTGTTCTCATAAACATGGATGCTGCTCATGCACTTTCACTCCAGTTTTAGTCCCAACCAAAATCCTTTGAAACCTCTATGAAAGCATTCGATCATCCTTACCCTTCCCAACTTCTGTCAGTTATTCTTGCAGAGAGAAACCCCACAAAATCCACATAATATCTAAGGGCTTCATATGTGGTAGTCATCATCCTGACCTGCTTCAGATCAGGAGGTGGTGACTCTGAAGCCTGGCCTTTGTGGGTGTAAGAATGCTTGAGCTGAATTTCTTAGTCATGTAAACCAGAGTCAGGAGCTGACAGTGAGAAAAGACAGACAGGCAATTTTACCTCTCATTCAGAAATTTCTGACTTAAGCTAATTTCTGAATTCAGCAGAAGCTGGGAACAAACAGCTTCTCACAGAGGAATATCATTTCTAGTCAGCTGAGGGATGGGATTTTGCCTCTAAAGAAGGCAGGGCTTCCCATTTCCTGACAAATTTGAAATTAGGATCCATCAGTCTGGCAAAACCCCCTTGGCAAATCATGAATGCTCATGAGCTATCAAAGCTCTGCAAGGCAATGAATCCGCTCTGATTTATACCAGTGGGAAATCTAGCCTTTAATTTTAGTTCTTGAATTAGCAGTTGTTTTAATCACATGAATGCAGTCTACCAGGTTGTCAGGGCCACATATGCGAAATTCAGAATTATTGCTTCAGTGGAGCCCTAAATATGTAATGTTTCAGTAAAGCCTTTTTATTGCATTTATGGACCATTAAGCAGAAAGTGTGATGGAGAGTCAAACAACAGCCAACCTGGAGCAGGCACAGCCTTCTTCATCACTGCCTTGTGCAATTAGGGAACAGCTCACAGGTCATTCGATATTAATTGGCCCCCTCTGAAGCCTGAGCACTTTATGAATGCTATTATACAACATGATAGCAGGGGACTCAAATCAATGACCCTGGTGGCCTCTTTCCCTCAGACAGCCACTGTTCCTAAATAAACATGGCTTATAGGGCTGATTCTGTTGGGGTCTATGGAGCTACACCAAGAATGAGTTCAGCCACTCTGGTTTCTATCCAGCAACAGTCAGCAAACACTGAACACCAGTTCTGTCACATATGGAACTGCCTCTTTCAGATGTGCCATGTGGAGATTTTCTCTAGAAAATCTTCAATCATGCACTCTCCCATCCCTTTTCTGGTAGGGATGAGTACACTGAGCCATTTTGAACCTCATGTTACAGGGCCAGGGAATCTCTAGAGAAGACGCTGCATCTCTGGGAAGGTCTGAAATGAGATCGCCCAGTTATTTCTTTCTAGAAGCCCAGGCAGACAACATATCTGATCAGCACTGCTTTTCTGATGTTCTCTTACCCAAGTCATGCAGTGTGCTGTTAGCATTACCCAAGTTAAGGAGAAAACAGAGTTATCTTCCTCATCAGGGGCTGAACCCCTTTCTGCAAAGCTTGTTTTTGCCTGAATTTCTAGGGTGACTTGTGAGATGAAATGCAATATGATGCAGTAGAGGATGCTGCTGTTTTAAGAATACTCAGACTGGAGTAGTGCCTGGAGAACAGAGAAGTGTTCACTCCTCTTCAGCGATTTCTCTCTTTGACCTTTGTTTTCTACCATCTCTATGTTACCTTTCTCCTCCTCTCTCTCTCGAGATCATGAAAGCAATCAAAAAAGAGGGGAGCATGATTCATGTTCAGTCAGCTCCAGCCCTATTCATATAGGATTTTTCTGCAATAAGCTGGAGAAGTGCCTCTGCTCAGTTGTCACTGGCAGCATCCAGGCTGGTTACAGCAGTGTGGGCATGGAGAGCAGATGAGGACATGTGAGTGTCAGCATCATCGCTTAAGCTATAATATATACTCCATCCAGGGCATAACTTGCAGTTTGCCTCGTTTCCTGCTGTCACCAAGTCTGCAAACAGACAATGATTGGCTTCTTAATGTGGGGGCTAAGATATTGTCTATGCTTGCAGCAGGGTCTAGCATCGGGCATGTTTTTAGAGCATTTAGCATACCTGAGATCTTATTGCCACGTTAAAACATTAGTTTTGCATCTGCGGACATTTTGGGGGGATTTGACAGCTCCCACACCCTGAACATTTGTACCTCTGGGAGGTTCTGTCCCAGCACCCGTCACTGCCCAGTGAGGACTCACTCCTGCATCCCTCCAGGATCCAAAGGCACCCGGACACCACTTGTATTTTTTTTTTTTTTTTTTTTTAAATTTTATTCATAAAGTGCGTTTCCAACCTCTTGCGTTTAAGAGATCCCTGCCTCTCTGCAGCAAGCGGAGAGCCTGCATCTTTTTCCTTGGCATTTGGCGGTGTTTCGCCTCTCCTCTCCCGGTGCGGCAGCGGTCGCTTTGTTCTCCGGCCCGGGGGGGCTGGGGCTGCCCCTCGGCGGAGACGCGCTCGAAGGGTTTTTCCTCTCCCCGGGGGAAAAAGGGGCTGTTCTGCTCCGGGCACCTCTGTCAGCTGAGGGGGGCGGGAGCTGCAACCTTGGAGTAGAAAAGGAAGAAGGAAAAGAAGGCGTGGGGAGAGGGTGGGAGCCTGCCGGACAGCGCGGGAGGCGGCGGGGCTGAGCCCGGCTGGGGGACGAGGGGGAGGAGGCAGGAGAGGATGCGGCGGGGCAGCGATGCTGCGTCTGAACTCCCTTCCGCCTGAGGAGAGGGATATCATCCTCCGAAGGGAAGGGGGAAAGTGGGGAGAGGGCGGCCAAGCTCGCCCACAGCCCGCTCAGCTCTCCCGGGGACCGCCCGGGGCTCGCCCGGCACCCGAGCAAAGTTTTCCCGAGCTCGGCGAAGAGCGCGGAGGAGGCACGTGAGATCCCTTCTCCTAGCACACAGCTGGGCTTCCAGCCCCGGCCCTGCTGTTACTGGCCATGGCCTTGGCACCCCCGACTGAAGGGTGAAGGGGAGACCTGGGGCACCCGCTCCCTCCATCGCCTTCCCCGGCTCTGCGCCCCAGCCCAGGTAAGTGTCCCCCCACCTTCCAGACACAGAGGCTCCCTGGCCCTGCCGGAGAGTTTCCCAGCACTTTGCTCAGGGAAAAAGTCTTGTGCTTCTCCTGACAGTCAAAGGGTGCGGGCGTGCGTGTTTGTGAGCCTGAGTGTGTGCGGGGGGGGGGGGTGTGTGTGTGTGTCGTTATAGCTGTCTGACTGCAGTTTCTGTTTGCTGATCACTGTCATTATCTCGCTGTGCCACCACACCTCTAGAAAGGAAACTCCTCTGGGGTCTGCCAAATATTTTGGCTGTGCTGCAGCAGTGAGACGGAGTGGAAGGATGACAGCTCGACCCCCCTCGCTGCAACTAAGAGGGAAACATGCTTATCGGTGCATGTTGCTGGTGCTGCTGGTACGGCTTTAAATGATGTTCCTAAAATGCTGGCTGAATATGTCACTATGCCCTTCGAGCTCTAGGAACTCTGAGAGCTGTCAATGAAAGTCTTTGTCCACCTTAGAATATAGGGAGGGATGGATATTCCCGTGGAAGGAATCACTATAGCCTCTGGATTCCCATCGCTCTAGCTCAGACATGCAGCTTTTCTGTGTAGCAGTGCTTGTCAGTAATGCATTTCAAGCTGAAATGTTGTTTGGAGAGGAAATCTAGACTCTAACTGAAGAAAATAACCTGTTTCACACAGAGAGCCCAAAAGGAACTTTTTCCACTCCCGATGAAAAGGAAATTAATCATTTGGGACAGGATAATTTGCTGGAAAGTTGGTCATTTCTGAACCCATTAACTTGTCTGAAGGGGAAGGTAAAAGCTGCCAGATATCCTCAGGCAGGTCAGCAGTGGGAGCTGACCCACATCAGTGAGTTCTTGTGACTGCAAGGGGATGGAGAGGGACCCTTCTCCCCACAGCATCAGCCTCTGCTTTAGGAGATAACAGGAGAACAAAGATGCTTCTGTTGCACATGACAATAGGAATAAAGACGGACTTTGTGTTGTTGTAGAGTCTTATCAGGTAAAAGATAGTGTAAGGCATTCTCTGGCTTTGTTGTGGTTTGGTTTCTTTGGCTTCTCCTCCACTGCTCTGTTCTCTTTCTCATCCCCATTTCATCTGGTTTTCCAACAGAAATCCCCTGTGTATAATCCCTGATGTTTTTATATGGAGATCAAGACAAGAGTAAACAGTGATCTACTTTTTGAATGTTCCCAGTTCAAACATGCTGTCTTTTATGTACTGCTGGTTACCCTGTGGTGTGTGTGCATATCAGGTCCTAGCCCTGTGATGATGCTGTCTCCCAAGATCTTCTATCTCCAAGCTGATGGGAGAGGTCCCCACTCCAGGCAGGGTTCCTCTTAGATTCTACAGTGAGTCCATTGCTTTCTGCTGGGAAGGGTGTCAGCCCATGCAGGTGCCGCAACCAAAGAGGATGGGAAAGAAGTTTTGTCTTGGACACAGCATGGCCAGAACCCTATGGTGCAGCTACAGAAAGGGTGTGACAAGCTCCAGAATAGCTCACACAGTTTAAATGAGATCTCAACCCTGGCTCTATTTTTGACCACTCCAGCTAGCTCTGTCCGACGGTTCTGGGTATATCTCCATATAGATAATGTGAATGAGGCAGATTTGGCTTCCTGTGCTTTTCCTTGATGCCATCTCAGCAGGTGTGGTGCCTTGCTCCCTCAGTCACCTCCAGGTGCTTTTATTCTGCACCTAAGGGTGTGCAACACAAACCCTTGGATTCACATTGTTACAGCTTCACTCTTTGGGCAGTGTCACAGCCCTCGTGTTCGACCTGGCCCTTTGAACTGACACATACATGTTTTAAAGACATAGGTGTATTTAAGGAGGTGCAGGACCCTGGGTTTTGTCACGCTACCTACTCTAGTCTCTGACCTTTTGTGCAGGCTGATACTCATATGTTCCCAGACACTCAGCCCAATGGGCCTCCCAGCACAAGGACTCCTGGCAAGCTACTCATCACTGCTTTAGCCACAACGGTTTATTTGCAAACTTCTCTTCACTTGCCAGGAGACAGCCGTGAATGCCTGGGAAACTGATGGTGACTGTACACACCCTGTGCCCAGCTGGATCGTTCTCTCATGTCATTTATCCTTGCAGAGTGGATTTGTGGTTCTCCTTTACCTGCTGGGGTGAGCTGTCCTTAGATGGGCTACCCTGATTTATCATTGCCAATGGTGCCTGAACAAGCCCCTCTGTTCCTCTCCTCCCCTGTTACAGCCCGGGGAGGTCAGTGAGGATTTTGCCCAAGATTAACCCCCCTACACTCGCAGAGCTGTAACGATGAACAAAAATTGCCAGGCAGAGAAAATGAGCTACCAGGGACCATGCTGGGTGATATTGCTACAGCTATGAAAGCAGCCAGAAGCCAGCATGGTCTCTTTGGAGTGACTACAGGTGATTGCTGACAGATGTGATGGGCAACGGGTTGAAGCTCCTTCTGAAAATCTCAGTGGGAGCATGACCTCTGGTCTCTGCCTTGCCTAGGAGCAGAGGCAGCCAGCTTCTTTGTGCATCCCACTAGAGCCCAGCAGCTGTGATAGTGGCTCAGATCCCCCAGGAGGGGGAATTCTTGAAGGGTGGAGTGCTGGGGATTCGGGAGGGAGAAACCTGATGGAGCGGATCTGTGATATGATTTAACCTCAAGGAGCCGTGCAGTTCCCTGCTGAGCACTTCGCAGCGGGAGGATGTAGGGCAGACTGAGGGGAAGAGCCATGCTGGGGTGTCTGCAGCCTCTGTGTACTGAAGATTTCGACTGGCATCTGTAAAAGCTAGGCTGAGAACAGTGTGTGTGCGCATGTGTATGTGTGTCTTTAACCCAAAGCTATCTTGCTGCTGGTCCAGGGCTGGTGAAGGAGGCAGAATCAGGGCTTTAGTTCACGTCAGTGTGCCAGGGTTCCCAGACAGAACAGAAGGGCACTGCTGGAGAAACTTGTGTATGTGTTAATCTGTCTATGTGTTAGTCTGGCTAATGGAGAAAATGCCCTTTCTTTCTCACACGCTCTCAGTTCTCCTGAAAAATCTCTGCCTGCAGAGATACTCCTTCCCACTCAGGCATCCCTAGATGAGGAAGGATTTAATCCTTCCACGTGCCTGTCACTGAATGGGAACTTCACTGAAAGTTCACTGCTGCACTTCATTCAGGTCTAAACAAAAGCCCACGCCAAGGAAACGAGATATAACACCACACAGGGCAACAGAGAGCTTTGCCTCAGCTGGAGGCGTGGGAAAATTTTATAACCTAGGAAACATGGTGAAAACACCCGGCTGATCCCATTGGCATGTTTCAGGTTGATGGGTGATATTTTGGTGTTTTGGTGTTTTTTGTGTTTTTTGTTATTTGTGGGTTTGATTTTTTTTTTTTTTTTTTTTGTTTGTTTTTTAATTTAGTGGCTGCAGAGTGTTAATAGCACAACAGTGATTCTTGGCTCTTGCAGTAGAAAACTGTGCAGTATCTGTTTTTCACCAGCAACCCTTTTGAAAGTTATTTGACACCAGAGGAGGGAAGAAGTTAGGGAGCCAGGCAGGGGAGTAGGAGAGAGCAGACCACTATTGTTTGCTATCAGGCTGGGAAGAGAAATACTCTCCTGCCTGTAAAATCAAAGGCACCTCCAGCAAACTGCTGGCGATTTGGCTTCTGGCAGTTTGGCTTCCCATCAAAGTACAGTGAACACAGAGCCAACTCCTATCACATCCAATAATCTCCTCCATGGAGAAGCGGCTCTTGTCAGTCAGGGCTATGTGTTCCTGTCATGGGTCCTAGGCAGATCCCCACAGAGGCTCTTTTCCAGCTTCATCATCTCAGTTTCTATGTGCCTCCATCCAGGAGCCAATGTTGCTTATGCATGAACCTTGTACAAGTTTGATTTTACAATTGAGGCAAATATGCTTCCCTGCCTTCTCCTATGGGATCTCATGTGATCACACCGAATGTGGTGTGATACATGGTGAAAAGCATGGTCCAGCAGGCCAGACACCCACATTTGCTCCATTTTATCATAGACTTCTGTGGCTTATGGCAAGTCATTCAGTATCTGGGGATAGAGTTTGTCTCACTGACCATTTAACTGTTAACTGCTTGAGTCATCTCCAAGGTTCCCTCCATAGGTAGCTCAGCCTCCCATTGTGGACTTCTTTTTGGGAAGTTCTGGATCATCTTCTGGCACCTTTTAATCTCCACTGGCTAGAAAAACAACCTAGATGACTAGTTTCAATTGCCGGACAGCTGAGAAGTGGAGCAGAGAGTCCCACTTTCTGTTACAGTTTGGGACCTTTACCTGTCCAAATATATGTTGCACTCAAATTGCAGCAAGGGATGTTCAGAGCAGTCCTGGAGTCTGTTATTATTCTGGGCAGGTGTTGTGTGGGTGATGACAAACACTGTGACACCAGCTACTGCCCAAATGGGCAGCAGGATGTATTGCCTGTCCTGAAGAACCTGTATTTTAAGGGAAAGGTGGATGGAGTAGAGGGAGCATCAAGAGATGTACACAGCAGGTCTCAAACCCAGGTGAGAAATGTCTACGATCATGATGTGAGTCTGTCTGTCCAGCCACACTGCTGCAATACTGTTCTGTGGTTCAAACTCTAGGCAGAGCCAAGCATAGTCTCTGGGCCATCTCATGCTCGGATTTACCTGGGCATCATCCATCTGGATGGCAAAGAGCACTGAGCACACTAGGGTCAGTGCTTCAGCCTGAGGCTGACAGCCTGTGACCACCATGGACATGGGGAGCCCAGACTTGAGAGCAGGCTTGGATTTGTACTTGGTCATTGATACGAGCAAACCTGGAGACGATGCTGGTCACCATGAATGGTGGTGGAAAAGTGCCTTTGGTTCATTGCTCTAACAGCTGCATGCTTTTCTGTTCCTCTCCAGGGATTTCAAGGCAGCAGGAGACCAGAGCTAGCCTTCTCAACACAGTGCTACAACCCGTGAGGACTGAAGGTGACCTCTGAGACTCATCTCAACATGTTCAGTGAAAAGAGCAGTGCCTCTTTGTCCCAGAAACCCATCCAGAAAAAGACACGACCTCAGGGCCTCCCTTCCCCTGCTCTCTGCTGTGCTTGTGGACTTTGCATCATGCTAGCAGGGATCAACATCACTTTAGTGGGAGCATTTGCCTTTGGGACCTTTCTCCCAGTGAACAACCCTCCCATCATCATCGGACCCATCTTGCTGGTGGTGGCCTTCACATTCTTTGGTGCCTGCTGCATCTGCAGCCGGAGGCCCCCAGCTCATGGGACCAGGAAATCCAAACCAGGTTCTAACATTGGGCTCATCAAACCTGGCAACACAGCCTTTGAAATTGAAACTAGTGAGCACACGGTGCAGGATACCACTGCTGTTCAGCTGAGCCCCACAAATTCCCCCATATCCTCAAAAAAGTCCACACCGGTTCATGAAAATGCAAAGACTTGCAAGCTCTTCACCATGGAAGGCAACGGGCCGGTGGCCAAGTACACTACAGGAGGAGAGGCGATACAGCTCAACTTGCCCAGGGACCTGGCCACATCCTAAAGCCAGGCAGAGCTTTTGTTAGCAGCCAGCCAGACGCTGCAACGAGTGGGCTGTAAATCCATGATGTACCATCTATCAGAGGTGTGGGGAAGGTGTTTATGAAAAGTCAGCAGAGGCATGTCTCTCTGAATCCATTTAAGGGAGGTGGATGCAACAGCAGAAAAATTTCAGATTTTTGCTGAAAGGAACATGCCCATTACATGTCCTTAAAAAGAAAATTGATAATGATGTTGCTGTGGAAGGATGACTCTCACTTTCTGGGAATACACCAGCTTTTTGGGGGAGCAGATAGGAAGAGAGGAATGAATTAATTTGTGTAGCATAATGTGTAAATGTGATGGCTGGAAGGAGGGGATACATGGGGCTGACAAATGACAGCTCTTTCTTCTCAGAATTGAAGCAATTCTTGAACGTAAAAGAAGCAGGAATGCAGTAAATTACAGCTTGCTGCCACTCAGTCACAAGAAGATTTCAGCAGTTTTAGTGCCAGGCTTTTTGGCAGTAGGGACAAAGCTTTGTGTCTGCTATTGAAAAAGCAGTGTGAAACAATCTCCCCTCTGAAAAATCTTTGCCCCACCTTGCCTTCATTCGGGTGACTTTACACCACCCATTCTAAGAGACAACTAATCACATGGATCACAATTAGCACTGGTATTTTGCTCTTGTTTTAATCAGGTTGGGCTGCAGCTGTGTTGCTCTGTGCAGTAAGTATGTTGGAAGGTCGGCCAGGCTGAATCCTTGGGGACAAGCTCTTGGAGTAACCAGAGATTAGAAGGAGCCTGCAAATGAAATCTTTGGGCAATGACTATGTACTGAATGCTAGGCAGCTTCCTTTCCATCTTTTTGTGGAAGTCTGGCTTGGGACAAGAGGCAAATAACTGTGTGGGCTTCAGTATAGCTGTGCTGGAAGGTGGTGACTGTATCTCGTTCACTGAAGTGACTGGGAGATCCATTACACAGAGTGGTCAATCAGGAGTGGATCTCCTTGCTGCAAGAAACTGGCTACTCACTGTGCTCGTGAGCTTGCAAAGCATTGGGATGAGTTTGCAGAAGAGAATTTATCAAGAACTGTTCAATGCAAAGACACCACCTCTGCCCCGGAAAGACCCTGATCTGATGGATTATTGCTGCAAAAGCTTTGTGTTCTTCCCTGGGCAACCCCGTCTGGGAAGATGGTGCTGTGATAATGGGCCTTTGCCTGGACTCCTGTAGGGGCTGTTCACATGTTTTATGAGATATGGTACCAGTGTGGGGAAGGACAATTGTGCTAGGCAGGACCTGTACATGGGGAGGCAGCACCAGGAGAATGGATTTTGAGTAGGAACGGCTGTATAGATCCTGTGTTTATAGAAATCTTATATTTGAAATTGGGCTCTGGAGACTTTGAGTGATTAGGAAGTCATATGGACACAAGAGTCACCATACCAGATCATTCCAAAGACACAGCTAGCCCAGCATCCCATTTCTGACAAGGCCAAAAGCAAGGTCTGGAGAAGAGCATAAAGACAGGGCAAAACCAGGATGTTGCTTGCCCCAAATGCTCTCCCAGCCTCTACTGCTCCAATGCAGGAAGCTTAGAAGCTTCCTGAGCTGAAAGTGGTGTCAATATTTAGTAGCCCTGGATGAATTTCTTCTTCATTTGCAACTCGAATGTCTGGTAACTTTCACCATTTGTGATCCTGCAACAGGGAGATGCCCAGTTTAATGTGAGGCCATAAAGTTCTCTATCCTTGGTTTATTTTATTCCTGCACCCTACTAATTCCCTTTGATGCCCCAAGTTTCCTGGATTAAAAGGTCCAGCAAACAGTCCATGTTCCCCACACCACTCAGGTTTTCTGAGGCCTTTTGTCATGTTTCCTTCAGTCATCTCTTTCTTATGGTACTTCACATCTCTTGTAGCCATGAATGCTTCCCATTCATCCCAGCGTCAGTGTTCTGCTAGGCTGAGGAGTTATCTAGCAGAAATAGATGTGTGGAGAGGTGGGAGGGCTGAAGGGGAAATGCTGGAGGAGAGGGCAAGGTTGTGACATGGCCAAGGCTCTCCTGGGCCATCAGCAGACCTCTGCATGGCCAGGCTGTGAGAGCTGTATGGCTAGTGTGCTGGGTTAAGTGATGGCGTGTGGGCTTGTGGAGGAGCTGGAGAGAAGAGCCATGATGCTGTACAGTCCATGCATGAGGTGTCCTGGTTGCTCTGGGGAGCTGCTGTGCAGCTGATGTGTCCTTTGTGAATTCGGGTGGGGTGAGGTTGAATTTCATGTCTTGATGAAAGGTAATCAAACACTCTGTCATAATGTGGGTCCTTCTTGAGTGCACCAATGGTTTGCTGCCTTGAACAGCTAGCTGCTTCTACATCAAGGAATCACATCTGTGATTTTAGCAGGGCTGGTCTACTGTCTAGGGGGGGTAGAGGCAGGATTGGGAAAAGAATGTTTATGTGGGCCTGGAAAGATGTGGGTTCAAGTCTTCGGTACAGCCTGCAAGTCCTGGGCAAATCATTTATTTGTGCTACTGCTCAGCTCCCTGACTGTATGAGAGGGAAAATACCTGTTCCAAATTCCACTTAAAGCTGCTTTAAAGATTAAAACATTGCCAAACAGCAGGGTTGGTATTAGCACACCTGAGTCTGGAGATTGCTTGAAGGTGGGTGAGTCTCTATGGTCTGATCTCTGCATGATCTTTAAAGCTCATTTTCATGGGTGGGCTCTGCCTCCAGCACCGGCTGCCCTTTGGCACGCAGGAACTGCTGTACTGAACAAAAGGCTCCCATGATTTTTGCCTGCTGGTGATTGCTGTAGCAATTAAACAGAATAGCTTTCTGGTGTAGGTTTGATTCCCAGCTTGCTGGCTCACCAGCTTTTTGGAATAGCACACAACAGGCTAGAGGTCCTTTACAGGCATTGCCCACATGAATATGGTTACTGCAGCACTTTTCTTCAAGCACTGGAAGCAAAAAAAATAGTAAAATCAAGTGGTAACCATACAAGTCCTTCCTCTACTCGTTGAAGGCTTGAAACCCAAGTTTGGAGTGTGCATACTGGAATCAATCTATGACAGCTGCAGCATGAAATGCTACCGGTGATGGATAATACAACGGCAGATCCCATACAAGTAGAAGGCAAAGGCCCCTTGGGCAGGAATGGGGGCAGAAGCAGGACTGAGGGCCAGCTAGGAGTTTCGTGTTGTTCACATTTGTGTTGTGGTCTCACAGACTGTACCATACAGGAAACCCCAACATGGCCTGGGGACCTGGCTCATCTTGCACTGCACACGCAGGTCGCCATACAGCCGGTGTTGCTCCGGGAGCTGATGCCCCTGGGACCCAAGGAACAACAGCCAGCAGAGATGACACCTGGGCAAGCAGAGGAGTAGGACCGGTGAGATGCTGGTCCCCTGGTGTGGTGGGTCTGTATGCCAAGCTGTGACCCCAGCTGCCTGCCTGCACAACAAGGTGGGCATGGGAACATCTGCCTTCTGAAGCATGAATGCTCTGCTTTTGCCTTTTCCTGTCTTTCAGGATTTCCATGTCTGTCTGTCCACCTCCGTGATCAGTCGTGACTAATGTTGTGAATCTTGTGCCTCCTTGTGTAGCGGGAGACAGGGAGAGTTTCTTGTGCTCTAAGTCAGCGTTTTTGGTGTGAGTCTTTTTTTAAATTACTATTTATGTGTGTGCGATATGGAATTTGGAAAAGAAACTCATTAAAATAATTGCACTCAGTAAGCATTTGGCGCACCTGCTCTTTCACTCTACCAACCACCGTCTCCCTCACCCCAGGACTGTGTGTGCCCCAAAGCTGTCTGTATTCATTTTACCTTGTGCTCCTCACTCTCCTGCTTGATTTTCTAGCCAGTGCAACTAGCTGCAAGGAAAAAGCATCCCTAAGAGTTCATGTTGTCTCTTGAATGCCATTGCACCTTTGAAGCCCCGGTTGCCTAAACACCACTCCTACCATGGACTCCTACTATCATTGCTTTGGCTAACTCAAGAATAGGCCAGTTTAGACTCTTTTTCCTCCATGGGTGTGTTAACCCCCAGATTTGTACCTGAACAGGCCAGATGTGACTTGTGGGCCTCCAGTTTATCAGGGATATGGGAGGAGCAGGTTTGTGGGATGGGGTGGGTAAAAACTGTGGGCTGTTCTGAATTCCACCTCTCTGGTGATGGAGCACTGGATTGGATTATTTTAGCTGATCCTCCCCAGTCCTGGGTATAGGTGATGTTTAATTTATGGTGTGGGGAAGGGGTGGAAGCTGTATCTGTGTATGTTTGTGTGTGTCTAGGATTGGTACCATCACTCTTCTGTGCTCCTCCTGGGCTTAGCCCATCATGGTCTCTTGGAGATGAGTCGAGGAGTGATAGCACAGTGAGAATAAAGAGGATTTGAGAGCCTTGCAAATTCACCTCGTCAAAGGGATTCTCTCCCATGTGCAGCCAAGTGATTTGAGATGAGAGGAAATCTCTCCATTCCAGGCAGGCTGGCTGGTTAAAGACCTGGGAAATGAGCTGGCTAAGAAGGCTCCATGGACAATGTGTGTAAAATGAAACCTGCTCCCTTCAGAAAGGATTTTTTTTTGGCCATTAGGAAGAACTCCCTGGAAGAGTTTTTCTTTTTCTAAACTGAGACCAGAGAGAAAAGCACAGAGGAGGGTTTGCTGAGCATCCACTGCTGCCCTCCTGGACTTGCAGACAGTAGCATTCCTGCCATGGCAGCTGCTCAGCACTAACCTGGACCATGAGCTTCTCTCTCCATCTGGAAGAATAAAACAGAAACATTACATGGAATGTAATTAGCTTTTTCTAATTCCCAGCCCAAATTTATTCATGGCGGTTTATTTCTTTTTATAATTGTACCAACAGTGGCTTTTGACCGAGATATGTTTTTGCCTCCTGGAAATTTATATTCCTGAAAGATTTTAGATTTGCTGCAGATTTCCTAGAGCCTCTCTTTCATTAGGCTGAGCTGGCTGAATGCTTCCATCCTGTGAAATACTTACCCTTCCCTAGGAGCCCTCACCTCTCTCTCTGGCCTATCACTCCGATTCTGTTTCAGGAGCTCCATGAATGCTCATGAACTGTCATTCTTTTGCGAGACTCAAAAGTCCATGGCAAAGGTAGAAACCTTCCAGGTCTCTCTTGTGCTGGAAATGGGGTGTTTTTCCCTGGACAAGTCCTAGAAGAGGAAAAAAAAATCCATGAAAGAGCAGAAATATCCATGAAAATGTGAAAATTTCATTTGCAAAGTCCCTCTGTTAAAAAAAATATGAGCTTTTATGTTACTAGTCTCCAGTGAGTCCATAGCAAATGTGCTCAACTTAGAGGTTGAAAGGATGGTTTTCTCCAACTGTCAGATGCTGTCAGCTCAGCTGAGCTTTCAGCATCCATAGGAGAGACCCTCAGTCACTGCTGGCTGTCCCACTACAACATACTCTAGGAGTGGTTTGTATATTTGTTTTCTAAAACTCCCGGCTATCAGACTTATGACCCTGAAGAGCTCCTCATTTGGGGTGGCCTCAGAGCGATACCCTGCCCACGTCCCCAGGGTGATGTGAAGCCACAGCAGATGATCATCCTCTGCAGCAGCACTCCCCTCTAGATGGACCAAGAATGTGGAACATCTCCCCTGGCATTGCCTTACATTGTTTGCTCTCTCAAGCTCCCTAGGGAACCTGGGAGCTTGACTTACTTAATTTTAATATCAATTTAAAACTCTTGGAGATTGGCTCCATGTAGTGGTGGCCACTCTGGGGGCTTCTGCCGTCCCAGCTGCCCCCACTGCTGACTCAGGGAGCTCCAGCGAGGAGGGGACCACTTCTCACCCAGGCTCTCAGTGAACCACCAGGCTCCAGAAGACAGCTGGACCCTCAGGGTTGGTCAGTGAGGATTGCTCCATACAGGCATGTTTCCACGGCTTTGTTCGGTCTAATTTACAAAGTCTGTGGAGAGGAGATTTGGCTGTTTCCATCAGCAGATCTCCTGCTATTTGTAATCACTCTCAGTCTCTCTCTGTGGGACCTGCACACACTGACATGGCTTTGAATTTTCAGAGCACAAAGAGTATCAGGGCTGGGAGGACAGATTATATTTTTCAAGGCATCCTTGCATACAAAGGGTCCCCAGGAGTTTTTCCAGGGAGCACATCAGGAAATTCTGATTTCTTAAAACTGGCCTGTCCTGAGAAGACACTGATTCTCATGATGCTTTTGCCAGGAAAAAACTTCCCAGGTTCCAGATGAAATTTCCGATCCAAACACTTGAGAATTGCTCTATTATTCAATCCTCCAGGCACCTCTAAAATGAGATTTTTCTGGGCTCTGTCTCCACATGAGGACCAAACTTCAAAGGCAGCTTTAGGGCTACAGTCCCTTACCAGACCCCTTGCTTTCAATCACATCCAAAAAAACAGATCTCTGCAACAGTGCTTTTAATAAGCCATGCCTTTAGATACCTGTGTACCCTCCCAAAACCATTGCAGGAGACCTCTCCTGCTGAAATCTTTGCTGGAGTTTCTGGAATCAATCTGCTGTGACAGTGAGCAGTTTCATATGTAGCTCTCTGGCCTGGTGCCTGATAGATATTTGATGAAGTTTTCTATAAAGTCAGACAGAAATATGATTTATTTTGCTAGCACATAGGCAGAAAAGATGCTTCTTTTGGAGACAAATCCTCTGTTGTTATCTCAGTATGAGAAATCAGTATGATCATCTTTTTATCTCCAGCTGAGCCAGGCAAACATGATGCTGTCATTAGGAGTTGATCCTCCCTCTCCATTGCAAACAGCTGGTGCTTTATCCCATTTGCTGTCTCTGGGGCTCCACACTCTCCTTTTGTAGGCAGATTTTGTACGTGGGAAGGACGCGCTGCTGGCAAACCCAAGGGGTCTGGTTTCTGCAGCCTCCTTAGGTATGGGCACATCGCTGCTGCCCACACCCCATGGCTGTTGTGCAAATAAGCAGCCGGTTTTGATTTCTGGGCTGGGAACCTTTCACAGGGCCACCGAGTTCACTGGAGAAAAATAACCTTTGGCTGGCAATTACAGCTGCACCTGGGACCAGCAGAGCTTTTTGCTCTGGGGACGTAAACCCAGGTAGCAGAGCATGGAAAGCTCCTGGAGGCTGCCCTCCCAGCTTCGTGCTGCGCGATGGTCTCCAAATGGCTTTTCTTTCTTATCCTTCATCTGAAAACACTGACCAGCCCCAAAGCCAAGGCAAATTTTTGCTGCATCCTTGCTCACTAAACTCTTTTTCATGGCTATAAAACCTTGGAAATCCCTCTGAATGGGGTCTCACACTGCGATGTCCCATCCACGCCTCTGGTGCTTCACTACATAAGTGCAGGTAAGGCAGTCCCTGCTCTGGGTAAAGATAAAGACAGCAGGTGAGAAAGGAAACTGAGGCACAGAGCTGAAAACGAGGCCTCATCTCAGACCAAAGCATTAATCTTGCATTTCCCAGGGAAAGAAAAAAGCCAACTCTCAGCATCTGTAACGTCCTGGGACAAGGACTTCCATGTTTAAATGCTGTGTTGTGTGGAGACCCACCTGCTCGTGTGTGCTGACTTGATTTGAAAGAGAAGGAGGAAAAGCCATCTCTTTTCTCAATTGAATCTCAAAGCGCACCTTTTGGGTGGGCCAGATTCAGACACTCAATAAATAGCTGTAGATTCCCTTGTTCGGGGGAGTGGTCTCTGAGGGTGAAAAATACAGAAATGGGTTTTCTCTGCAGGGAACTGAGCGTTGAACTTCCTGCATGATCCTGTTGGCTGCTGTTTTCCTGACATAATGCATTTCTCTGACATAACACTGAATTTCCCAGCAGCTCTGGGTTACATATATTTTTATAGAGCCTCATTAAAAACATAGCTTTGGTTCTGAAAATCACATTTGTTCTAAATAAGAGCTGTCTACTGGGAGAATTAATTCCTCTGACTTAAGTCACTTCCCTGGAAGTGTTACTGTTGTCTTCAATTTCATGGCTCAGATGATTACACTTTTACAACACCCAAGAATAACAAGATTAGGGAATTTGTGGCAATGAAGGCAAAGAGGAGGAACTGGCTAAGCAAAAGGGAAGAGAAATTGAATTTTCTTGTTAAAAGAAAAGGAAATGGCTATTTCACAAGAAGAGTTTTCTTTCAGGAAATAACAGCAGGGAAAACTCCCTGCTTGAACCAAAGTCTCTTATTAAACCTACCAGATCTGTTGTCCCATTCAAAAGCTTCATGATCCTTAGATATGCTATTTAAAACTAACTTGAGAAGTATTAAATCCAGTCCTGTGAATTATAAATTAGTGGAAAAATTAGAGTAAATTAGTAAATTGGCAGGAATTGAGGTCAAATGCACCACCAGTGTAACTGCGGCGGTACTGCAGTGGAGGTACAGCCACCTTCTGCTTCCCATTTCTCGTCAGACATTTCCAGAGGGTTGCACGTCCTCGTGGGGTCATGGGGGAAAACTTGCTGTCTATAAGATGAGTGGAGCCACTGGGAAAAATTGACTCAGAGGGTTTGGTCCATGTTTGAAAATTATCTTATTAGAGACAGAAGCATCCAGAGATGGCAGTTACCATCCACCTAGCAGTGAGGCATTGGGTGTCCCTCTGCCCCTGTGCAACTGGGAGGGAAATCCAGGAAAGTAGCTCAAACTAGTGCATTTTCCTTGATTATTAAGGCAAGCTGAGAGTGAGCCACGGGCTCCTCACAGGGCACA